GATTTTTAAAAAAATATATTTTCAAGCTGTTGATAAAGAATCTGTGGATATGGAGGGTTTTCTATGCAAGTCATGAGTTGAGTCAGTGCACCATTTATTATGGATTTCAGTCCCAAATCAAGTAATTGAAGGAACTTGAGTCCGAGTCAATCCACCTTGAGCCGATGTCACTTGGTTTGATCTGTAGACTTCTGAAACTAGAAGTGTAGCATTCTACCAATGTAGTTATACTGAAATCCAGAAGCTAGATCAACGGAGAGGCAAGCAGCAGGAGGGAATCATACAGAAACTGCTGAGCACCCACTGCATAGCCTGGCAAAACTACTGTGTAAGGAGGTACTGGGTACTTCCACACATGATTTCAGAAGAGGTGAGTATATTGGCATAACTCACGAAGAGGATTTAGAAGATGACTAGGACTGGGTAGGGTGGTCATGAAAGAACTAGACAAGATTCTGAAGTGCAAAGAGAAAACAGCACTAAAGTGAGGATAGTCTAAGCAATTGTATTCCACATCACCATTGTATGGATGTGAGAGCTGGACAAAGAAGAAGGCGATTAGAAAGAAAACCAACTCACTTGAGATGTGATGCTGGATGGAGAACAGGGCTGAAGATACCATGGATGTCCAAGAAGAAAAACAAATGGGTTCTAAATCTGGTCTGAATTCTCCCTGGAGGCCAAGATGATTAAATGGAGGCTTTCATACTTTGGCCGCATGATGAGAAGCTAGGAAAGACAATAATGTTAGGAAAGGTGGAGGGTGGTAGAAAGAGGAAGACAACATGCCAGAGATAAAGGAAGCTCCATAGCGCTTGGCCTTCAGGATCTGAGCAGCGTGGTTGAGGACAGAGGGTCTTGGAGATGTCATTTGTGGGGTTGCCATGAGTCGAAGTTGACTCAAAGGCAATTAACAACAACCAAACCAAAACCACTCTCTTGTGTTTTAGCAAACAGTCGTACAAATGTATAACAAGGAAAGGAAATCTAAACAAATTAAGTTGATGACAGTCAACCTTCAGGGGTCAAATCCTTTTCCATACCCTTTGTAAACTTTATAGAGCCTTAACAAGAAATGTTCTAAAGGATACAAATTTCTCTGAAAATTAACAACAACAAACTCAAAAAGATGCATGTCCTTCCGCCTGGAAATTTTCCTGGGCCCTAAATCCATCCTGGAGCCCTGACCTTCCATTTTAAGAGTAAAAAGATTAGAATGGCTGCTCCTAGAAACCTATAGGAGGGGCAGTTTCTTCTAAAGCAGGTGTACCTTCCCTTCCCTTCTTCCAGCAGAAGATCCTCGGGTGTCTCCACATCTCCACCAAAAACCAAATAGTTCTCCCTTTTCCCATACTGGAAGTACTAAACTTATAGGGCTGGGAAGGAGAGTTATTAAAATTATTGACAGGGTGTTGGATGCAGAGCATTTTCAGCTTGCAAATGCAAATAATCAGGACAAAAACGGCCTCAGAAGCCCCTTTCAGAGTTATATGTTGTGACACCGTGGGTGGCAGCAAATAAACGTGGCTCTTAGGCTGCAATCTGGAATATTCCAGACAGTGGCGCTAAACTCCTTGTTTATAATCCAAGTGTGTATCAAGAGTGAAGAATTTCCTATCCAGGAACAAATTTGAGTTAACTTTTGAATTGACCACAGCTGCCATAGTTAGTGATAGCTGGACTAAATGGTTGGCTCAGGTTGCATCTAGACTGTAGAAATAATGCAGTTTTGTTACCGCTTTTAAGTACTGGAGCTTCCATCCAATGGAATCCTAGGATTTGTAGGTCATTAGCTTTCTTTGCCATACTGTGTGACCCTTGGTATATATACCCCACAGTGTATATACCCCCCACACCTCCATGCCACCATTCTCTGAAAATGCCAGCCACAGATGCAGGCAAAATATCAGGAATACATTCTTCTAGAACATGGCCTTGCAGCCCGAAAACCCCACAAAAACCTATGGATTTGATTAACGTGTTTTCTCTAGGTCCTCTACATAGAGTCACACTGGAGGACCTAGAGCAGTGTTTCCCAAACTGTGGTCCACCAGGTGTTTTGGACGTCAACTCTCAGAAGCCCTAGCCAACAATCAGGAATTCTGGGACCTGAAGTCCAAAACATCTGGAGGATCAAAGTTTGGGAAACACTGCCTAGAGATTCCTAGAGTAAACACTTCTCTAGGCACTTGTAGATTTGTTGTTATCTCTCAGCCTCAGAGGAAGGCAAGGGCAAACCTTCTCTGACCAAGTTCGGCCAACCTGGAACAAGTTTATCTAAGGTGAACAACAAGTGAAAGAACTTTCTGTACTGTCAGGGACTGCAATAAAGCCATTTATTTAGAGAATTTTTGTCCCCTTCAAGCCCATTAGGCAGAACGTGGTTTCAAGCAGGAGAGGTCCAGCATGCGGGAAGAAGGGTTTGCGGGGAACAATATCTTCCCAAGCCCTTGAACCCTCATGCCTTTGGGACAATGCTTCCAGAAAGCTCTAGACTTGAATCATATTAAAAGTGGAGGCTTCCTGGCTGCTATGGCAGCCTCAGATTATATCCCTCTCAAATAATTTCCAAGTGGTACTTCATCCACTTGGAGGCCTATCCTCATTTTCCACCTACATTACGGTTATTATGGCTGGAAAATATGCCCCATTATTGGACTAGATTAACAGACATTTGCGGTCAGTAATGCCTCTTCATGTATCTGTGTAAAATGCTCTTGAGCAGGACATTAATACCGTACATTAAAATAATGGATATTTCCCCCTTTCCATATTGCAGTTTGCAACAACGAATGGCTATTGTGCTTCTGCCATACTCCTTTCCCCGTTGAAGCCGGAAGAGTCGGATCTGAGACAGATGAGTTCCTTTGTCTTTTCAGCAAGGCAAAAATCTGTTTAACTTCAATTATTAATCTTGGCTGCTTTATAGGTCAGAAATGTCTTATTACTTTTGTTTCTTTCCCCCCCCCCCCAAAGAATCTGAGAAGATTAAAAATATGAATTTTCCGTATTAAGATGGAGGACAGTTAACTAATCACTGCTCATATAAAGGGAATGCATATCTTCCTAATTTCTAAACGCTTAGGCTGAAATCCCACATTCACATGGGGGCAAACTCAGGGTGCATCTACACTGTAGAAATAATGCAGTTTGACACCACTTTTAAGTGCTGTGGTGCCATACTATGGAATCCTGGGATTTCTAGTTTCACAAGGTCTTTCGTTTTCTCTGCTGAAGAGTGCCAGTGCCTCACCAAACTACAAATCTCTGTAGGAGGGAATCATGGCAGTTAAAAGTGATATCAAACTGCATTATTTCTACAGTTTAGGTGCACCCTTAAAGTTATTTATGAATAGGGCTATCAATCACAGAACTTTTACTCTCAGCTCAGAAATGAAGACTTGAAAGCAGCCACGCTTTGGTTGAACGCTGTTTTCCAAAGCGAATGGACCCAATCCACCAGAAAATTTCTTTGCTCATTTTACCAAAGTGATTTTTAAAATAACCCATTTTTTTGAAAATGACGTTGGATCAACCAAAGGGGTTGTACAGCTTATGAATGGTGAAAATGAAAAGATTTTTAAAAAAAATCAAAAAGAAAACCACCAAAAAGCATTAAAACAGGAGCAGTTGCAGGAATTCGGCTGCTGCTTAACAAAATGTTTGCCTGTTAGTGGAAGCAAAAAAAGCAAGCAGCCAAATGAACCTCCTTGGGTTGAAACTCTAGTGACTGGGCAGTAATACAGAATCTGACTGCTATGATGGGTGGGCAACTATAGGAAGGTAATAATAATAATAATAATAATAATAATAATAAA